AACTTTTACGCCTGGTTGCAATCCGTCAGCTGAATGTCTCTACATCGCATTGGGAGGTTTTTCATGAACTAAAACAAATATACTAATCCGGAAATTTGACCTTTATTTGTTTCACTAAGAAGGTTGAAATACTCCTAAAATGTATATCAAATATGAATATCGTAATACGAAATGTATCACTTTTTTCTTGAAGTATGCAACTTTAATTCGAATAACCGCAGCAACAATTATTTTTGATTGATTATTTGCCTACTGACAAGTTTATAAGTAGTCAAAACAAAATCAAAACATTTTGCACAGACAATTGATTTTGAAAACTAATGGACGTACGCATATTACTGGATACGTTTTTTTGCACGAGTCATGTGTTCTGTGCTTGTAAATATATAGTTTCAAATGCTCAATGAACTTGTAGTCCTCAAATTATCCTAAATTTAATTACGGATAAATGTGAAATGTTTCTATTAGCAGCCTATACTTTTTTTTTCATTTTAAATTCTTTGTTGTTTAGTTTGTTTTGCATATCAACAGCTCTATGAGCAAGTGTTAACCCCACATTGGAACACATCAAACTCAAGGTGGACATTTTACGGTTCAATGGTCTATAATACAGAGTAATTCCTATTGGATTATAACACAGAAACATCGTATTGAATGGATTATCAGAAGAAATAAAGTCTGTACAACACTGACAGTTCGTTTATCGAAGTTAATTTATTTCTTGATAATTATGGAGACATTAACTTTTGGATAACCATAATCGATGTGACGTTTTTAAAGAAGTCTGAGTATTCATATGTGTATTGTCAAGTATCAAGAAATAAGTGTGCATAATTAGATCATCAACAAGACCAACATAGGATCAGACATTACAGCGCAATAGTGCAAATCGCCACACCTTATCTCATATCACTATATGAAGTACCAAGCTAATTAAGATGGTAGGAAAATCGGTCAAAGCAAGTCGACATAGAAGTACAAAGCAGTTACAAAGAAGAATGGGGAGTAAGATGATGAGGTGAAATAGAGCAGTTAAGATGAGGATAATGTGTGCATACATCTGTGCCATTGATATCAATTCCGCCCCATATCACCTAATGTCTTCAACCACTGGTTTAGTTTGTCCCGCAGACCCCAACCAGCTAGTCTGCATCACCCTACATGGCTAAAACCAACAGTCAAAGACTTCATGCCCTGATCTCATGTTTAGTCTGGCAGCTACATCTCTTTTTCTAGCCTAAACCTACTTTCGCCAACATTGTGTGACGAGGCAGCCGGTGGTTAAGCATACGTAACACATGTCCCTGATATCTCAGTCGATGAAGATTCACAACCGAATCAACTGTCTTACCTCTCCTTCCTAAAGCTCTAAATCTGACTTCTGTGTAATTAAGTGGTGACACCGCGAAACAGCCTATGCTACGCAGGCAACGGTTGTCACACACCTGAATGTTTTCAGGAATGAAAAAATTTCGAGTTCAAAAGGTGTTTTAGTTCTCATAAACTGGCTACTTATCTTTTGCAAGTAGTATAAAATTAGTACGAAATTTGAAAGCATGAGAATAGATTCATTCAATAACACTGCGCTACGTATCGTTTTTAGCATGGCATTTAGCATATCCTTTATTTTTTATTTATCTACTCTAAAGTACTGGTTTATGCCTCTTTTTGTGGATGGGATCTATAATAACAACAGGTTCAATCTTATTTACCAATAACTCGATATCGGCTTCTCTCAATTATGCATATAATCGTAAATATTGAGAGAGGATTGGTGGAGGATTGCCGCTTTTTCTGGGGCACTAGTTTGTACTCCGATTATGGACTCCTGTATATAATAATGGAGAATATCTGTAGCTCAGGTGGATGATCTTGGTTGTATTGTGTTCTCTGAGCGACATCATCACTACTGAAGTTAGTGCTGATGATGTCGTCCAGAATGACTATGAAAGCTTCACGATTGAACAACCCAGCTCAGAAGACACAATATAACCCAGATTCGTGTACGTTTCCACCAAACTGGTCGCAAGATACGCATTCCATAAAGCTACATTAGTAGTTGTAGATAGGTCGTTCTGAAGGGTGTTCACCTTCCTGAAGTCTGCATTGAGTAGAGTTTGTCGTCGACTGCTCCAAATCAAGAAACATCTAGTGGAGATGGAGTCCATTCCAAGCATGCTTCCGATGAATAAATATTCCACATTGTTATATAACTTTGCGAGACACCTAAATATAAGAAATGGAAGGTAACAGAACCTTCCTATTCTCTTTTGGATGTAATCTGAAGAGGAACTTGTTAAATATTTCCCGTATATTATTGAAATGATCCACATGGTTGTATACAATAAAGAAATCATCAGGCAGCATCGTTTCAACTACAGGTGTTACAGGCACACATGAGGATGTCAAAGCCAGGATCGGAAAGACAGCAAGACAGGCCTTCAGCAGTCTGAAATAATCAGTGTGGAGATCTACTACACTCCACTCCACTCAGCATAAAGCGTGAGCAACATTCGGATTTCCAACACTAATGTCAGTCAAGTCAGTCAGTGCTTGCTTCTTTGTGATGGTTAAGAGACTTGGCGTGTTACGAAAAACATTTCCAACAAACTTCAGACATGCATCACATTAACAGCTGCCGCCTACGCTCTCTCAGTCGATGCTGACACTGAAGATCAAATCAGATGGCGAGAATAATAAGGATAAGCAAGAAGGAACTCTCGCTGGCTGGTTACAAGCCAACCAAGAACTCATCATTTGGGCGGATACTGAGAATACCATTTGGGGACATCATGCGCCAGACAGGGCCATCGAGTGAAAGGCAAAGGGAAAACGATGAGTTGGGCATTCCAGCTGAGGGTGACATGGAGGAGATCATGTGAAGAAGAAATGAAAGGTTGTAGGCAGTCGTGGAGTCAGGTTGAAAAGACTGTAGAGGAAAGAGTGAAATGGAGACGCGCTACTGAAGCTCTATGTTCCATTAGAAACCCAAGGGATAAGTAAGTATATAATTAAATAATATACCTTTAAGGATTTGGCCTACTGAATTTTTTCCCCATGGCTATTCTATCGTTTTGACGATATATTTTGTTATTGAATTAACGTTTCACGTTTATGCTGCATAAATAATCATAAGAGCAGTTGTTTATTTACGGTTTTAGGTATATTGGTTAGTTTACGGTGCTTGAAATTTGTGTCCATCGTTCCGTTCATGACCCTGCTCAGGTAGGAATCCTACCCAACACCTTCAGGTTTTACGACCACCACGTTACCCTTAAGCCACTTGTTTGCAATCCAATGGTTCATATATCTTTCCTCCTTCTGTCAGTTTAGGGTATATAGTCGTCATCGAGTAACTGTCTCATACCCGATTTGGTTTGGCGCCACGGGTCATGAAATCTCACTAGAAGTTCGTGAATCACACCTGACAGAAGTAGATTTCGACCCAGTGGTCCTACGATAACGTGCTGGCCTTGAAACCTAAAGATACTGGTTTCAAGCTGAGGTGGGGTCATTAGTGTGTACTGTTGAGGAGTCTGATACTAGAAAAAAAACAGGTATCCAATTCTCTCACGTTTCAAATGGTTCTCCTCGAAATGACATCAGTCCATAATGAACACCAACCTGAAACCAATAAATCAATAAACGCTATCACTCACTAGGGTTGAGGTACATCGATCGTAGTTCAATTCTGTCAATACATGATGTTGCCCCAACTAGTCATCGTTGGTACGTACTGCTTAAAAGTCCCATATGAAACAGCTTTCTGTGTTTCTAGGTTTGAAAACGTTCTCCAACTGATATCAGTCTGTGATGAATAATACCCTGAAATAAATATAAGCATTTCTTATCATATATGCATATTACAAGAACAGTATTAACAATCACCCATTCATGAGTAGTCGTCTCATGTTAATCTCAACACTTTGATGAATGATTTCAAAGGGATACGTCCCCTTCTAAAGAGACTGTTGAAAACCACAGCTTACACAATCTACACTTCATAGTGAGATCACCTTAAAGAAGGAAAGGAGATATTAAGATACACTATCAGCATATCTGCACAATATCATACAATCATTATTATAGCACTCAAAATAATCACCTAGAAAGTGTATATTATTATAAATCACAATTATAATCATAACAATGACATTAATTAATTGATAAATAAGCTGAATGAAGCATAATTATATAAACAAGAGACACATGCACCATACAACAAGATAATGATTAAACAGGTGAATATAGATGGAAAAGTCACGAGAAAATCGATTAAGTGAAGCCACAATACAGCGCTAAATCTATCAACAATTAATGATCAAGGCTTTCTTGTCTCATCTGTTCATTTAATTAGGCATAGGGTTATGAAAACGAAAATAACATTTTTTGTTGTTGCTGAATATAAGCCAATATATATGGAAAGGGAGAGGGTTAAAACTCTCACATCCTGTTTTTTTAATGCTTACATATACACTACTTTCTATAATGTTAGTAGTATGCTGTAATATTAAAAATAATTTGTAACATCACACATGAATGATTATCAAATCAGAAGGAAAAACAAAGCACGATGACAATAATTTATGTATTCTAAAGATTTTTAACCAAGTATATAGCTGGGACATAATGAAAGAGACATAAAAGTATTTTTAAAACATAGAGATGAAAACGCAAACATGAGGAGGAGGTTCATGCTCAAGAGTATAGCTAATGTATGTATATGAATGTGTTTATGTGTGTGTATATGATGAAATTATCCAGAACCTAAAAGTTACGTATATGAGTGAAAGTGAGACAGCATGAAAATATTCAAGGATGAGAAGGGAACACATAGCATAATAAGCCAAGAAATTATAGGAAATGTGTGTGTGAATATGTATAATATTTCGATTTGTTAGAATTTGTTTGCACTCTATCAGTTTCTTTAAAGTGGTCAGAGAAAAGGCAAAGATTCATGTCTGTTAAGAAAGTAGTCATAGACAGACACCTAAACAACATTAAGCATTTGTACTATTTGAGATAGGTATAGGTTTTGATTCATTTGTTGATGTTGAATTGTTCGATGTTGACCAACCACCAAGTAATTGTCTTCGTTGTGCAGCTATACGTGTAGCTTGTACAGCAGCTTCATTTGCTTCACACAATTCTTTTATTACACTATCTAATTCACTTAAATATCGACGTGAATCATCTTTTGTTATAGGATTTTTATTTAAACTATTAGTTATTGGTGTAGTTAATGTTAAACTATTACTATTGTTCTCTTGTGATCTACGTGAAGTTGATTTTTTAGCATGAAATATTGAATCCATTTTAATCGGTAAAGGAATTGGTTGTGTGATAGTGTTTATTGTAGGTGAACAAGTCACCAGTGTTGTACAAGAAGTTGAAGATGTAAGCGAATTTGAAGAAATGATATTAATTTCCGGTTTTGAAGTTGGATGAGGTCCACGTAGATATAGTGAAGCTGAACTAGTTTTTGAATTAGTCAAATGGGATAATTTACTTGGTAGTTGTTGTTGTTGGGGTGGCTGTGATTGTTGCTGTGAGTGGAATTGTTGATCAGTATCTAAAATTGAAAAAGAAAAGAAAAATCTGAAGAGAAATACATTATCCCAAGTGGATTAGAAAAATGTGAGAAAAGTTTCACGACATATAGTTGTTGGTTCCTCACTCCTGTGCAACAAACATTAGAACTCTATGCGATTGAAAAATATGAAGTTAGCTGTCAATATCTCTCCGTGAGTGATTTAGTAGCTTACCCTGACCAACTGGTTTGTGGTTGATTGCTTCCTTTGATTGTTGTGTCATCGACAGATTGTATAGACTTTCCTGTTGGCTGTTCCTCTGCTTCACCTCTCACCTTTCTGTCGCTTATCACTTTTCTTATTGGTTGATAGATTGGGTCTATATCTATACATCTCTCCATTGATTGCTGACTGAATGAGCTGAATGCCAAACTTCTAGATATTCTCTGATATTCTTTGTGCTTCCTCTGTCCAAAATTTCTACATCGTCGAAATTGAATTCATGTCCATAGTTGTTATCCACGTGGATTGAAATGAGTGATGAAATGTCGTGACGTTTAATAGCCAACTGGTGTTCATATAGACGAAGGAGAAGAGCGCTACCACTTTGTCCAATGTTACTGTTGACTACAGTTATTCTATTTGGTCTTGTAGACGATATTCGGTTTGTCTTCTTCGCTTGTTGCATCCTTTGGTCTGCATAATAGTGTTTCGAGGGGATTTATTGGTTTATAAGCCACATCAATTCCACCAAGTGATCTCAGTAATCTTGTCGTGATTTTTGATATATTCTTTATGTATGGTAGGACGATGCGTTTATTGATTTCTGTCGATGACTTTGTAGTTGATGATGTAAGGGATAGGCATCTTTTGACCAAGTTTCGTGGGTATCCATTCTTCTTTAGGATGTACATCAAGTAATTTTCTTCGTTTCTCCATTAAGTTGCTGTACTGTATTGTGTTCTCCCTCTTTTGAATAGAGTCTGCACGCAAGTAATTGTGTGTGTTGTTGGGTTGTTGCTACTCTAGTTGACGATTTGGCCACTACATTTCATCACTCATTTCAATCCACGTGGATAACAACTATGGACATGAATTCAATTTCGACGATGTAGAAATTTTGGACAGAGGAAGCACAAAGAATATCAGAGAATATCTAGAAGTTTGGCATTCAGCTCATTCAGTCAGCAATCAATGGAGAGATGTATAGATATAGACCCAATCTATCAACCAATAAGAAAAGTGATAAGCGACAGAAAGGTGAGAGGTGAAGCAGAGGAACAGCCAACAGGAAAGTTTATACAGTCTGTGAATGACACAACAATCAAAGGTAACAATCAATCACAAACAGCTCACTTCATACTGAAGTCAGTGCTGATGATGTCACTGTCTAGGAAGACGATGAAAGCTCCACGACTGAACAACCCAGCTCAGAGAACTTAATACAACCAAGACCATCCAGCTGAGCTACAAAATATTCTCCATTATTTCAAATCGACAAATAGTTTTAGAACATACAAAAGTGGTTCAAACTTTCTAATATATAAGGCTTTGAGAGATTTAAAGATCCATCCGCAAACACCTTTTGCAAATATATCTAAGGTATCTAGAAACCTCAGTCCTGTAGTCTACCTCAAGCACATGTGGTGAGCTATACATAAATAAAGAGGAATCATGAATTCATCGAAGCAAGGGCTATGCAGTTCATTCAAAAAAGTGATTTTACAAGCAAAAATAGAATAAAATTTTCTTTACAATTTTATTTTATCTTGATTAGATTTCAATAGGGGTCCATTTCAATCAATGCTCAGTTTCTACACTGATGTAATTAACTAACAACAATGATGATGATGATGATGATGATGATGATGATGATGAGATGATGATGATGATGATGATGATGATATGATGATGATAACAGTAACAGACCAGATAAATGTCAATCAATGACTACTCATTCTAACTGACAGTAAATTGTGAAATTTTCTGCCTTTAAGTTTATCTCCAGTCAAGTTGTTTAACGACTACTCTAACTCTGTTGACATTCAATCAAACTGATTAATCAGCCTTTTATATGCCTGATATTGACTTTTGCATTCGTCAAAGAATTCATTAACAGTTGATGCCGTCATATTCAATGGGGGTATTGTATAAGTCACTTGGAGAGGGGGTACAGTTCATCAATGCGTGGAGACATTCAAGTTCTTCAATCGTGAAATATATCGTTGAGACAAATCACAGGATTGATAATTCTACATTCTTTGCATCTATTTACAAAATGTGTTGAAGATGAATCTTTAAATTTGTTCATCTCCTTAACTATAATGAAGTTTAAGCCAACTTTGTGTGTTCAAAAACAATTTGTTATCACATTAAACCACTTCTATATTCCAGTTAACTCTCACTTATATTGCTCTAAATTATATGTATTCTTGTTAATGATGGATCGTGGCTAACAGTGGAATCCCGGATACACATTTCGTCCTATTTGGGACTCGTCAGCTCCTGAGTCGGAATCCCGGTGGGAACAACATTACTCCGTACTGGGAAGCAGGTACGTCCAGGTGACGAGTCCCGAATAAAACGAAATGCGTATCCTGGATTCCACTGCTAGCCATGATCCATCATTAACATAATTAGAACACTGGCAATATCGAGGCATTCGCACAGTAGACCATATGCTAATAGAGACCGATCAATTAGGTCCAATCAACGACGGTATCATATAAAAACAATTATACTAAATGTATTCTTGTCTGTAAATGACCACCAATGATCTGTCTTAAATACTCACTTTCAGTGATATCATTCTTAGAAGTCGTAGTGATGAAATCATTGAATATTTCAAGTTGTTATTCATCGAAGAGTGACATCAGTTGGTGGGGTCGTGGGTGCGCACTGCTGAGGAGTCCCATACTAGTCGGACGAAACAGCTGTCCAGTGCTCCTAGGTTTCCTTTGTTCCTCCAACTGATGTCAGTCTTCGATGAATAACAACTTGAAATATTTCCAAATCTCCACAACCCCCTCAAAAACATTGAATATTTGTCAGTTAGTAATTCATTACAAATAAAGACAAAGAAGATTGGTTATACAAAGAGATTATTTTTAAATATGGAGATCTACGGTGATCTACGGAGATGATCTTCTGAAAGAGAGAATATAATGGAACCGATTTAGAGGACACTTTATGCCATAACTTTGCTCACAAAATTAATACTCATCATCATCATTATTGCATTATGGTCCAAGAGCTGCCATACACCTCAGATCAGTAGTTAAGCAAAAGAAGGAAGATGAACAAGTCAAAATCGATGCAGAGAAGTAGAAAGTAGTAAAGGAGAAGAAGAAGAAGAAATGAGAAAATGATGAGATTAAGTATAATGGATAACATGAAGATAATGTAAGTATACTATCTGGCGACAATGACATAGGTTCTAAGCCATATCACCTAGAGTCTTCAATCAGCTAGTCTGTATCATCCTACATGGCTTACATAAATAGTCAAGGACTTCAAGCATTCATGCAAGGTTGTAGTCTGGCCACACTGAACCTTTTTTTCAGCCTGAACCTTCTTCAGCCTATATTGTGAAGTGATGGAGACGATAATAGCAGGGTATACACTTAACACTTGTCCCTGCCATCTCAGTCAATGAAAGTTCACTACCGCACCGCGCCTAATGGTGAGAACCTGCGCATACGATAATTTATCGTTAATAACTCCTTCATTATATGCATAAACCAGTTCATTTGGCTCTTTTGAGACACTGAACACTTTGTGATATAGTTCGATAAAAGTGAATTTAGATCAATCAATAGTTTTATTCAACAATATATAGTCAATAATCGACAAAAACAATTTCTGAAAGATTAATTTGATTCATTTCATCAAAATCATAAGGTGTAAATAAAAGTTTATTATGCATTCATTGAAGCTTTAGCAATATTGAAGTATAAACCAGAGTTATGTTCACCTACAAGTTTTCTATTCAATCTCCTCATTAAATTATCAATATCTTAAATTTCTAAATATTCATTCATTAACTGGTAAATAATGATTTCATGTTTAAAGTGATGAATAAAACAACATCAATCATTGACATACAGGTACATTCAGTAGACAAGTAGGAAATAGGATGAAATGACTATCTTAGATTTCATTGTTAACCATCAACGAAACTTCAACAGAATGAATATTCAGACAATATCGAAGCATTCACATAAGAGTCGTTCTGGTAACAATATCAATAAATAACAAAAATTGGAAATTGAAGCTCGCTGGTTCGATCCCCGTAGGCCTGAGTCCTGGGTGTGCACTGCTGAACAGTCACATAATAGTCTCACGAAACAGCTGGCTGTCCACTTCTCCCAGCTTTCCTTTCTTCCTACAACTCATCTCAGTCTACAATGAATCACAACTTCAAATATTTCCAAATCCACACTATTCCCTCAAAATACAGTTACATTATGATAAACATATTAGGCATTTCAATAACCATTAAATTATTTTATTATCATTTAACCATCTGAGATACCTGTGGTTTAGCAGACTAGTAATGATACTCAATGATAGCTGAAGATGAAATGAAATGAAATGAAATGGACCACTGTTGAATTCAAACCACTGATCACCGAGTGACCGACTCGATGCTCTATCTAGTAGGTCAGTTGATAGAGTATTGGGTTGGACACTCAGTGGTCGATGATTTGAATCCGATCACGGTACAAATTTTCATTTCACCTTCACTCATCATTCAGTATAAATTATTTTGTATTAACATTTCATCTTAACAATAACACACAGTTGACAGGGAAATGTGTAGTTCATTAAAATTAAAGATTGTTACCTTGTTGTTTACTTGGCAGTTTGACTTACTCAACTACATTGATATTCATTCGGTTACAATGTGGATTACGCATATTATTAATTCAACACTTTGATAACTAAGTAATAAACAAACTATTACTTGCTTCTGTGGCATCATGAGAAGTTCTTATCTTTCAATGAAATCATTGAATATTGTACACTCTCAGTTTAAATA